ATTTCGTCTCGCCGAAATGTCGACATTCGTCCGCAAAGGGTTAAAAGACCTTATATCACCACCGATTTCATCGTATTCGTATTTAAGAATAAGCGAAGCGACAAAAGGATTCTGTATTCATTATACGATCTCTGTCGAATTCACCGATGCTACGAATTACGCGGGTAATGCGCAACATGCGGTGCAATATTCCGCAATACTACTATGCTTAAGCCGACCGGCGCGTATCACGGTAATCATCTACTTTCACAGTTACGAATAATTAAATAGTTTGAATGAATGACGTTTGTTGAGCAGTGATTACGCGCGTCCCAAATACGTGACGCCTATTACAAAATTCTGGATCGTTTAAATCATTAATCCAGAATAACCATAAGTTACTGACTAATTTAACGTTTCGTTTAATCGGTATTGCTGTTGTAACATTTGTGTGAAATTATTTTAAAGTGATTGAAATTTTATTAATCGAGATTTTATTGTCTTCGAGAAATACTGTTGGGCATGTAAACCGATGTAAGTGTATACGTGTGTACTTCAGTGATGAGTCTATGGTAATTGCTTCATTATTATTAATTATGACATTCATTTATTAATGAGGTGTTATTGTTTGGGAAAAATGTTGGAAATCAAATAAACCAAATCAAATGATCCTATATATAACGTTTAGTGGTAAGTCTATGGCAAGTGCTTCGTTATTATTAATTATGATATTTATTTATTAATGCTGTGTTATTATTTGGAAATAAATGTTACTGAAAATCAAACAATCCAAATCAAATGACGCCTCTGAATTGATCTGTTAATTCTAATTAGTAATACTTCAACTGTAACTCCAGTTACCTTTTTAATTAATAAGTTTGAATTTAAAATATTATTTATTTATGAATATTTTCTTGTTAGACAGAAAAGTACATTATCTTCCTTTCTAATTTTATAACTGAACAGTCTATAATCTTCCTCGACAATCTGCCAGCTGATGCTTCAGTGGTTTTAATAACCCACCTACAAGTTTTTTTAATTAGACTGAAAATATCTGTGCAAAAAATATTCTAGACCCAAGTTTCAAAATGTTCTAACTAGTTCGGTGGAGAAAGCATCGTAAATTTTATGATCACAAAATATTCTGCTATGAAAACCAGATAGATTCGCTCGTACATGGCTGATATATTTAGGAAGAATATCGTACGTCTAATATACTGAATATAATTTATTATTCTTTAACAATTGTTAAGTTCGTTTAAATATCTAAATATCTCAAAAATATCTCAATGTATTCCCATACTATTCATTGTACTATAAAAAACACATATTATTAACATTAAACAATTATTCTCTAAGTATTTTCGTTTCCCTCATAATATGATAAAATGTCTTTGTCCAGAAGAGAAACTCGTCGTTACCTTATTTCGCAGCCATAAAGCACACAAGGATCCTCAACGTTGTCTTAAACAACTACTTTACATATCCATCTATTAAATTCAAATTATGCGCCGCTCTTATATCACAAAAATCGAGAAACTCATTAGCTTAAAAGCGTTACTTTTATGGCATACAGAATGGGTCATTCTATGGCGATAAAACTAAGGGAGCGCATTTTATCTTCGTGAATCCCCTAAAAACTAGCTGTGCAAGGTAATATTTCGGAATAAATTAGCCGCGCGCTGTTCTTTTAACAGACAGTTATAAATATTATTACTAATAATTATGTAGAAATAAATATTACATAAGTACACGTTACAAACACATCCTAACTAAAAATACAATTATAAAAATCCTTCCCAATGATTTAAAATAAAATATACTATTGTACACATTATAAATTTGCGTTCTGAAAAAAAGCGAAGAAGAAGAATAATTAATAATTTAAAATAAAGAAATGAAGAATAATTTTTATTATGTAATATTTATTTCTACATAATTACTAGTAATAATATTTATAACTATCTGGTAAAATACCATAAGATAAATTAATTAAAATAATTAAAAATAATATTATATTTGTATCCATCGACGAAACATTCTTAACCTCATTGCCATTTATATTTCAATAAACACTGCTTCCTATCAAATCCAAATAAATAATCAAACAATTGAGCACATCATTGTGTCCACCTTCCGAATAATGACCGCGCATCCTATCGAGTCGACCGTGGCGTTAACAACTGCATTAAAATACATGGCGCCTCCACGGGAAGATTGTTTTCACAGCGTCGCGTCACCCAATTTCAAAGATGACTCCGCGATTGTTTTCCCCGCCGCAAATGGGCGGCGCAGGAGTACGAAACTGCGGGATGAAAAGGATCGGTCTGACGCAAAAATGCTCCCGGCCAGGTACACGTGAAATCGTTGAAAGAAAATACCGTGGACCCGTAGTCGCTGGTAAATGGATTGTTATAACAACTTTGAAAAACCGTGCGACAGCCTCGCCGTGAGTTAACAGTGGTTCGCGTGGGGGCACGAAGAGATAAAAGAAAAAAGTCTTCCGTGAAATAATCCGTTTGCACTCGACAAAGAACCGAGTCGTCCGCCCCTGTTGTGTCGCCGGGCACATTTAATTGCGAAAAGCAAATACGATTTCCGTCGGTTTTCGACGGCTCTCGCATTCTTCGCAGTTGCTGCGTCGTCAAACAACGCGACTCTTCTTGCGCGACGCTCCGAAACTCGATGAATTCGAACGCGTAGAAATATTGTAGTGTCTAGAATTCTTAACTAACCAAGACGTAACTATAGCCACGATTTTACATTTGTATTTATGTATCTAGTCATACATTACTAATTTAATTGCTCGTTAGCCTTCGCCATAAAGGCGCTATGATGTACCTACCTTACAAAGTTTGGCCGGGGGAACGTTCTTTGTGAAATAAAGCGCTTGTATCTAGAATTCTTAGCGTAGGTTAACCCATTCGAGACCGGTTGCACACCGTGTGTGTAATTGATTTCCGAGGCTATATGACTGGTTGCACACCGTGTGTGCAATAATAATAATGAGGATTTATCAGTTATTCTGAGTAAAGTAGTCATCGAGATAAGACTTTTTTTGAATTAATAGTACTGTAAAGTGTAGAAAAACAAAATAAACATACTGACCGACAATAAGAAAATTGAGTTTTTATGACTATCGTCTGGAGATTTTAAAAAACTTAATTGGAAAACCCCGTGACAGAATTTCGCTCCTGGGGACCGTGTTCGAAAAAAATCTCGAATGGGTTAAGGTATTTTTAACCTTTTGCAAAACTATAAAATTGAATATTTAGTATTTTAAATGAAACTTTCTGTTGCTATAGGAAATATTTAAATAAAATTACTTTGTCGCTTAATTTATCTGTGAATTATCGTTAAATTAATTTCAAACAGTGTCGTCTGTATCTCGTTGAAAAGTATTAAATATTTCCAGTGGAAAACTTTCGAGTGCAAAGGGTTAAGAAGAGTGAATGTAAGAATGAGTGTGAGTGAAGGACAGATTATATAGTAATATATATTATATAGATTTAATGAATAAATATATGTAGAGTAATGACACTTAAAACAATCGATTCAGTTCATTAAGAATAAATATTATTGAAATGGTCCGACTATAATTTTATGCACATAGCAAATAATTCTTGTCATTTTTCTAAAACAAATAAGTAAACGGGCATAACAAATAAATTAAACTAAAAAAATTACCATGTAATAAGCTTATACATCTATAAACTAAACATTATGAAGGCACCACGTTGAAAGAACACAAACGAATAGCAATGCGATTACATTTATGAAAATCAAAACCATTAGATATCAGTTCGATAAGAAATGTATTCAAACAATTAATTAACGTTCATACATTTAATTTCCACTTTTAATGTCCAGCAATTGCAACTTAATCAATAACGATGAAACTCAAATGATTGTACCATCTGTCGAACACGCCTATGATAAAATAATTATCGCCAATCAATAAGACAGTCTCTTTCCATATCTGCATATCTTCACTGATAAAATCATTGACAATCATAGAATATCATACAATCACAGTTTTCTATCATACTATACGAGGAATACGCGAATACCTTACCAATCGACGAGAAACAGAACAGACCGGACAACCGATGTAAAATTTTGTCACTCGAGAGTCTTGTTGGTAATTGCAACATGTATCTATTAAAAATCTGTGTCTAATGTGTAAATTTAGTACATGTTTAGTTTGTATATTCCTTTCGCGTTCAGTGTATTCAAATTTATTCTAATGTCCACAGCACAATTATAATAAAAAATTTAATAAAACGATGAGGAGAATCGTATTTACTTCAAGTTTGAACCCTTTGCACTCGAGAGTCGCCTTTCAGTCGCCATTTGATTTGACCCAAGAAAATTGTAAAATTGAAAATTCAATATTAAATTTTATGTAATGTATCAACACATGAAACATCGAAGTAAAATAGTTCTATCATTTAATTTATGCGAGGTATTTCTTTATGTTAGTTGCACAAAATATCATTGACATTTCATTAGAAAATAATGAATATTTATTGAGAAAAATATTCTCAAGTGCAAAGGGTTAACCAATTCGCTACCAGCAGTTCTTTCAATAACAGTCGCCGTGATTATAATATTTTATTAAATAGAACATATCGTCTTTATAAAACGTAAAGAATACTCAAGAAAAAATATCTTTATAACCTTCTGTGCATTATACCATACCTTGAGAGAAACCCATTGAACCAACGCGAGGGACCCACTGAATTGGTGTGAGAAACCCTTGTTGTGTCTATGTGCGCCATCTATTTAGCAATCTCTGAAACTTATAGTCAAATAGTACGATATTGATTCCATTAGGTGGTGCAACCAATCAGTCATGTCTTTCCTAATCTCTCTCATGATGTTTCCTTGCTTTCCATAGCCACCGTTGGTGGCATCACCTAGCGGAGAAATACTGAACTGTTTGGCTAGAGGTTCCAGCATCCTACGAATAGGTGGCGCACCAGTCCAGGATTGAAGGGGTTTCTCACACCGATTTAGGGGGTCTCTTGTGGGGGTCTCTCGCGGGGGTTCAAGGGGTTTCTCACACCGATTCAGAAAGTCTTTCACGACGGTTTAAGGGATTTCTCACACCGACTCCGGAGGTCTCTCACGGGGGTTCGAAGGGTTTCTCAAAGGAGTTCTTTTTTGGAGTTTTTAATTTTTTACTGCCTCCAAAAACACTCAATCATAACGCCCGAAATAAGTCTCAAAAATGGCTTATCTTTCGTCGGTACTATCTCCTGGAACATCGTGACGTCGACATCTAGACATCCCATTATTGTCACATGTTGTTTTGAAACATTGAACTATGAAAGAGAGAGGTTATGTTGACGTATCTAACTACTTAAATTAATTTAAAAGAAAGCATAGTCTAATATTGTTTTTATTTAGAATCTGTTAAATTTATTTAGAAAACTAGGACACAAAAAATGAGTACACAGAAAGGTAACTCAAATCGATCAAGACCACAAAAGTACAAAAATCAAACTGCTTTCAAAAATGACTTGCATGATAAATCCCTCAAAACAAAAATTATTAATAACATTGAAATAGCCAATGTATGTGAAAGATGTAAACAGATAATTGAATGGAAAATTAAATATAAGAAATATAAACCATTAAGAACGCCTGCAAAATGCATAAAATGTGACCAAAAGTCAGTTAAACACTCATATCATAACATATGCACACCTTGTGCTAAGCAAAATAAGGTTTGTTCAAAATGTGGCAGTGGAAGCAACATTTTTGAAGAGAAACCCAGCAGAGAAGAATCTATCAAATTAGATGCTGAATTACAAAATCTTCTGAAAGAATTACCGGAAAGGAAACGTAGAACATTTATACGTTATATGAATCGAAATGGTATTCATATTAATATTATATTATACTACACATATGTATATTTTCACTATAATATATTTTTTTTTCAGCTACAAATAAAAACTGTAATTCAGGCAGAAGTAAAAATCAAACTAAAAAATACGAAGACGAAGGAAATGAGACTACAGAAGAAAGTAAAGATCAGTCTGTTGTTGAACCTGTGTCCAAAGATGATATGTTATTAAAATTAAAATCACTGATAATCAAAAATGAAGATGATAATGATGATGAATTCGATGATGATGACAATTGGGATTCTGATTCATTCACATGAGAATAAATTAGTGTATATTTCTTATTTTTAAGTATGTTTTTATTATAATTAAAGCAATAACAAATTATTATACTGGTTTGAATTATTTCATTGAACTTTACTTCAGGACAACATTTTTTAAAACTTTTTCTACATATACTGATAGTACTTGATGAAAGAAGACTCAATTAACTTTTATGATTAGGATTCATTAGTTTACAAGTTAGATATATATAAAATTAATTAATAAATATGCATGTATAATGGTATAGGTGCAGCATCTATTTGAACTATCCTCTGAGAGAACCAGCGTTTTCTTTTAATTTTCAGAATAACAACAAAAACTTCTTCGATTACACTAAATTCTATGTATATACATGGACTTCCTAATTACCAAAAGTCCTTCGGTTTTTTACAAAAACTAAAAACGCTTGAGATTCTTGTGTTATTTTTTCCAATTTATAATTAAATGAGCTTCACGAGAATTTGAGATTTTTAGGAATTCTAATTACATAATAATTCTAATAAAATATTTTAAATCGTTAGGTCTATTCCACCAACCCAATAAATGTACATTCACAAACTTCAGAGACAGAGAGTAAACATTCTTTTATTTTGTTCTATAATGTTCCATTGGTAATACATTTAGATGGATTATTCATTTTCGTCAATCGTTTCAGTACTCGTTTGAATTTACAAAACAAGTATTTCGTATTCGTGTACGCTCAATTTGGTGAGTAACTGCGCGTAGAATAGCATTTGGTACTTTTCTTGAAACATTTCAGATAATTTTTCAATACGCATCACAGATATGTCGTTGTTTGTGGAAAATAAAAATGTAATAATGACGCCTACTCACCAAACCGCTCACCCATTAAACTTAAAATAAGAAGAATAAACAAATTCTGCTGCTAGAGCCATTTAATCAATCCAATTAGACTGGTGCACGTAACGTCATTTATTGCTTTGATTAATGCGACAATATAACACATTTAACGACATTTAATTCTTCATCGACACCGTATCAAAGACAAAGGAACATTTAATAATAAACGAATTTAACGTTAACTCAAGAATTCCTAAATTATTTCAACTCAATAGCCAAGCTTCTCACACGAAAGATAGATTTAAAGATTTTACGAATGTAACATTTTTTAAATTAACAAATAAAAATAGAATGACCTAACCATATAGCATAACAATTCTTGTCAATAATTATAGTTACGGTTTGAAATGTTTGTTCTTATAATTATGTAACTGTATGTTCAACAATTTCCCGGGAATCGTGTTTTCAATTTTATACTTTATAACATTTATTTTCATTAAGTTTACATCTTATCAAGCTTCCGGTTTATTGTTCCGATGACGAAATTGGGTTCTGTCATTGAACAAATTGATTTCAACAATCGATCACCATGAGAAAAGTGTCAAACCTTTAGCGTTTCGAAGTTCTAGCACCTTGATAAGGAGAGAATCATTGTTAATGAACGAAAATGTAGAAAATCACATAGAAACAATATCTGTATAAGGAAATTCTTAATTACCTATTTCGACGATCGCAACAATTGTCCACTTACCCCAATCTTTTTAAACTTGTAACATTCAGACGGGCCAAGTGGAATATACAAATATTTTGCTCGTCGGTGTATGATGTTCCTTCGTAAATTAATTTAAAAAACAAAAAGACGTGTATACTGTATTACAACATAATACAAGCTGTAAAATGATTGTTACATTTAAAACGATTGCGCAATGTATGCGCGAAGGAGATAAGCATACGCACATAGATGCACTTGCTTACAGATTACTTGATATTCGCAATAATGTAAAGATCATCGTAGTTCTGAAAATGTTATTATCCTTAAATTACGTATTTGTATTCAGTATTTTGTTAGGCTATCCTGAGAGTACTGAAATCGACTCCAGCTAATCAACTTTGTTCCTCTTACGGGCTTGAATTTCGCGTTACAATTTATATCATGGTTAATTGTATTCATCAGAAGTTACACATTCTCAAACTAAGAGATTAATGTACTAATTAATCATAATTAAAATTAATCATCATTAAGAAAACATGTAATTACTTGTATCGTTTTAATAAAGTAAATTCTGTTTCAATGGTATACACCCGTTTAATGAAATCGTTTCTTATGCGGTGCACACTAAAGGTCAAAGAAAATGAATCGTTAATCATTATCTCAGAATCGCAATTACAATTAACTATTTGATTAGCTTCGATTACGGCTCACAATCCACTGTGATAATACTTTTTTCAACTACCAATTGTTCGTTCGATTGAATTGCGCCCATCGATGAATAACGAAGGAACACATTCGACGAGTACATTCGAAAATAGATTCGATTTCACACTCCGCGAATGTTATTTAACAGAGGTATTTGACTCGGCGTTCAACAACTTTGGTGAGGGTGTATTGTACAATTGTATAACATTACTAGCTACTCTATGGTAAACACGGTACAACACGGGAATCGGTAGTCACAAAAATATAATGAACATTACTGAAGAACCGTCGCTCGGCGCTTCAGGGTTGATTACTATGATTACAACACTAACAACGTTTTCGTTAACAGTCACAATGAACTCTTATTTCGAAGTCGTGTAATAAACATTAAACAGGCAATTGTGCGTTCCGCATGTTAAAGTATATCAAACATCAATATTCAAGCTTTAAATTACAACATGTGTGTATCTGTAGGTGTGTGTGTGTGTGTGTGTATGTGTGTGCGGTGTCGGCACAGGAATAGAATAAAAAATGCTTGCAACTCTTGCTCGGTTCATTTCAATTTCACTGTATTGTATTTGTCAAAATTATTCGTGATAAGATGACATTGCTTTCCTCGCTTGCGTCGGAAAGTTGAATTGATCTTGGAACGGATAGAAATCTGAACAAGATCTAATTAAATCAAAGTTTTCTTGAAATATAAGAATTAATGAAGTTGAACACATTTGAATGTATTGACCAGTTGATAATCAGATTGAAATGAAAAGTGATTTGACTATTAAATTAACAATAGTTTTTAATAGATCAAAGGAAAGAAACACGAAGAGCTTGCCATTAGCTTCAAGAACAGATTGATATTACTTGCTTTTTATTTATTGGATTCACACCCTATCAGATTTTTTTTAATTAATTCTGCGGACCAACATTCGATAGTTTTATTGCCTGTCAACTGACATACTTATCGTGCATATAGACTGATTTATTATTATTACTATTATTATTATTTGTTAATTAACGGGAATTAACTGTTTGATCAATTTTTTCACTTGTATGTAATGTTACATAGAATTCTTCACAATATGTCTGTGATTTTGGTATTATTTCAGCACATCTTTTTAATTATATAACATTTTTTCAAATTATTGATATGTAGTATATCTCCTTCTTTAAGTATTGCCAAACAATTAAAAAGACATGAGACTGTAATTTTAACAACACTAAGAAGGTGCAAAAATTTGAAGCCATTTTTTAATTATTCCAATTACATACTTATTGACAGCTAATATTTTAGAATTTGTTGAATCGTATTCTCAGTTACAATTGTTTATAGGACTTATTGAATTAATCAGCTTCTATGTTTTAAGTTTGATTTTCTGACAACTAGTACTTCAGATAATCTGTCCTTGATAGTAGCAACAGTATAGAACTTCACCTAAAACTTAATCGGATAGTATTAATTGGCACAAATAATCACACATTGAAGCATTAATACATTCAGCATTCTATATTCTGTTTTTGCGTAAAAATTCATATAATTCTTCTATTCTTCTTCTTGCTATGTTAATAGCAATGCGTGAAACGAACATTTGTTAAATCTTGTGACATATTTAAGGTTTGTCTGTTGGACAAGTGTTTATCACTGAACACATTTACAGAATACAGTGTATTTAAGAACACAAAAGTTTATATAAATTATATTTGTCAACTGATGACACGTTAACGCCTTATATTCGCTGTTCCATTGTTTAAATCATTATCATCCAATACTTCTTCTACTCAGTCATACAATCAAAGTTCGTAGTACATGTATATTTTACGTAATCAATGAAAATTACGCAATGGTATTCATCTTGCCTAACTCTTGTTCTCAAAAGCAAGTAAGATATTTCATCCAGTTTAAAACCTTAAATAATTCTTAATCAATCTAAAATGTTTAATAACCATCAGCTTAATCGGTCACTAATCCTACTTTCATTTGATAACAAGAGTAGGTACATTACATTATTTCATGAAGAAATAATTTTAATATATAAAAACATATGCTTTAAAAATATACATGCAATACAGAATTCTTATGAACAAAGCCCCAAACTGCGTAATAACATTATCTACTTCAACTTCTCTATTTAAG